GAAAGGGACAGAGTCCTCTTTCCATATCTGCCACATTAAGCACTGACAAAAAGCATTCCTTGCAAATATATGAAAAATGATTTATGAAACAGGAGTACTGGGGAAAAGGAAAAAAAAAAGAATGAAGCCTACAAACTGAAAGAAATGCATTGGCATGCCTTAAAAAGTGTTAATACTGTCAGCTAAAATAATATTGTAATTAGCATAGAACTTAGATTCTGTGCACGTAAGAATTGATACAGCAACCTGCTAATTGAAAACAATGCCACTCATGTTACTGAGGCACAAAGTCTGGTACATAGTTATGTGCAAGGAATGGGAGGGTTACAAGAAATGTTTCAATCTAGTAAACCAAGACAGCTGAGAAAAGGCTAAAGCAATAACCTTGAAAACAAGCATTAATAAGGTACTGTCACAGCACAGGAAGGATAAAGTGTTTGTTTACACAGTGAGCCAAATTTTGCCTACAGCAGGCCTACCTTTCACAAGACAGTCATATACATACATGCATAGTATTTATATACACATGTGAGAAAGCAAATACAGCTATAACTAAAGAAAATCAAGAATTCACCCTAAATCTGCCTATTATTAAAAGTCCTATAAAAATAGAATCATAATTTATATGTTTAGTGATAACTTTGACAGTGTTAGAGTTGGGAAAACATACTCATGTTTGCTGTTGCTTTTTTTTGTTTTTTTTTTTAATGAACATATATATTTACAATTATGATTATAAAAAACAACTGCCTGGATCTAGCTTTTGGTACCAGTGCTGGAATTAATAATTGCCAGATGTCCCTGAGAGAGAGAAGCAGCAACTGACCTGCCTAACAGTGATTCTGCAAGAAGAAATTCATTAATACTGTATTTGCAGAGCACTCAGATACCACAGCAAGAAGCACTACTGAAAATCCTATGAGGAAATAAATCACTCTGTATGCAGTGCAGGATCTGGCAGATGTGCAATAAAGAAAGCCTGGAGACATACATTAAATACGAGATAAAAAAAGATTCTACCCATTATCAACAGAGATAATATTCCCTGAATGAGCATCTTCTCCCTCAGGCATTAAATGTTTGATGTATTCTCATTTGATACAATGGAAAAGACTTCTTATTAACTAACATGGTAAGATTACACCAAGTACCAGTTATGTATTTCATGTAAAATATAGCATCAGATAATGTAATTAAAGTCTATCGTAGATACATGTTCTGGGGTTAGTATTTCCTCATTACTGAATGTCTAATTTTGCAACTAAACAACACTTCTGCAGTGCAACGATCATTAGCAAATGTATGCTCTGTAGCACTCAGAGGTTCCTATTGCCACAGCTCAAGGTGTGTTGGCTGAGTAAATCAATTCATGCTTCACAGTGCATTTGCTGTGCTGTTCCTGGAATCAAGCTACCATTTTCTACAGTTAGCTCAAGTCAGTCAGGATAGCAAAGACGTGGAAAGGAAAAGATCAAAAGTGGTGAAAAAACTTACAGGTTCAGTGCTAGCTCAGATATCTGTACAAACATGCTCACTGTTCTGTAAGTTACTCTATTTTACTCTACACCACTTCAGTTCTGCTCTTCTGTCCACGTAAACTGAGCTTTGTCTTACTCCATCAGCTCAAATCTGAAGTCAAAGTTCAATTTCCTTCTCTGTCAAACAGCAGGGACAGGAAGGATGTGTAAGGAGAACTCTGGGATGCACTCCTATGATGGAAAGAGCTACTTTCTGCAGTACATCAGAAATGGGGTGAGGAGGCAAGAAGATCCCCCCTCCCCCCTCGAAAACAACAACACCAACAACCACCACCAAAAAAATCGCATGAAGCATTATGAATGATCAAGTTTATCAAGCAATAACTTTGGCTTTTACATTGGCCACTAAAGTCAAAAGGGGCACTCTACCTGAAGGTGCACAATAAGGGAGACTCCCTGGGCTAAGGAAATGCATGTGATGTTTGACTGCGCCACACTTAAAGGTTCTCAGGTACCATTTGAATAGGCACAGCCTGTGGTTGATGATACCCAAGTTAACACTCATTCTGACCTCAGAAACCAGCCTACACAGAGTAGGGGCACAGCTCATTGGTGCTGATCATGCAGACTGGTGAAAAGAAAGACAAGGCTCTTCCACAACCTATGTAATAGCAACTATATCTTGCATTCACTAGGACAGTCTGCTAGTCCCATTCTGCTCTGCACTGCTGTGGTCTCACCTTGAGCACTGTCTGTAGTTTTAGGTGTCACAATACAAGAAGGACCGAAACCAGAAACCAGAAGGAAGAAAGGTCAGAGAGCATCCAAAAGAGGGCTACAAAGATGGTAAAGGGTCTACAGGGCAGGATGTATGAGGAGTGGCTGACGTCCCTGGGTGTCCTCAGCCCAAAACAGAGGAACTGAGGGGAAGCCTCACTGATGGCTGCAGCTCCTCACAGGGAGCAGAGGGGCAACGCTGAGCTCTGCTCTGTGTGACAGCGACAGGGCCTGAGGGAACGGCACGGAGCTGCGTCAAGGGAGGGCAATGGGGGTTGGGAACAGATTCTGAACCAGAAGTTGGTGAGCATGGAACGGGCTGCCCAGGACAGTGGTCATGTCCCCAAGTCTGCTGGAGTTCAAGAAGCATTTGGACATCGCTCACAGAAATATGAGTGGTCCTGGTGGAACCTTTGTGGTCTGGGTGGTCCTTTGTGGAACCAGGAAAGATCCTTGTTGGTCCCTATCAACTCAGGATATTTCACAATTCTACTATGCAGAAATGGTCTGACTATTTCACACGATCTCCTTAGAAAGAAGATGACAGTTTTTGCTTACCTAGCAAGAGGAAGGCAGGCTCTGGAACGTGAGAAACTCCCAGAGCCAAACAAGCTATGTAAATGCTTTCTCTTCTCACTACTGCTTTAGCCCTGGCCACATGAATATTGCTGTTTAGGAACAACCAGCTGAGTTTATAGGTTGGTGAAGCGTGAAACAGTACTTGGACCCTCCTCTGCCCAATTCAGATAGACAATTAAGTCTGACCTTCTAATTGAAAGTGGCATGTCAAACCTAAGTTGTCTCTTAGGAATGCAGAACCAAATAAAGATTAACAAGTTCCTGGGAATAAGAAACAACAAACCAATGTAAATGTAAGGCAACAGAGCAACAGAGCTGGCAATCACTTCATCATCATTAAGAAATCTTAACAAAAATTCAAGAATTTGAAGAAATAAACTAAAACACAGAATGAAGAAAAGCATTCATACTGAAAAAAGCAAGAATTTGCAATTACTGATCTTCAGAAAAGGTCAAAAGTAGAACATGGATCTAAGAGCATGGCAAAAAAACTCACAAGAATTATCACATAAAAGTTACTCTGATTCTCAGAGCAGCTCAGAGCACTCAATTATATTGATCCCTTCATTTGAATACTCTAAAATTTCCTGTCTCAGGAATCTGAATTAGTCATAGGGGAAGCTGAAACTAATAAAATAGTAAAAGCCTAGTTTTATTTGCTTACTCAGCAAGTTAACAGATCTAATTAATTCCCACAAACTGACATAAATGTTAATGACAAATGGTTTCCTTTCCTAGTTAAAGTTCTTGCTCTTCTTTCTTGGAAAGGGGATTATTTGTTTATTTATTTTACATTTGATATTCTAAATAAATTATAACTAAAATATCAATTGTGAGGTACACCAATATAAACGTACAGGCCCTACCCTTAATTGCATTTGACTGTGCAGCTTGGGACACCAAAATCACAGGCGAATTAAATGGCTTTTTTAAAGACAGTTTCATTGGTGTTGATATTAGAATAGACATCTATTTTTCAACACATCAGAAAAATATGATTCCTTATTTCACAGATGTCTGTCAAAGCTGATGTAGCCTCAGTTGTTATCAAAGAATCAGTATCACCTTTAGTCACGCAGCAAAAGTAATCAAAGTCCTGGAACAGGCAAAGTCATGAAGTGACAAGTCTCCACAATGATTACATTGAAATAACACATCAGTCTTCAAAAAACATGCCTTCAAAAAACATGCCAGTCTTGATTAAAATGCAGTCCACTATGTGAAACAGGACTTCAACTAGTAATTTTTTGTTTTCCTTTCCCAGTCGGGAGATTATAAAGAACTTAAACAAAGATTAATTACAGTTGGAAAAGGATGCTCTTCATTCTTTGTCGTGCAATGACATGTTATGTTACGGTGCTGGCACAAGTAGTAAACACTTAACTTGATTTGTTTTGTAGAATTCCCTTTCTGACCGATATATTAAAGTAACCTGTCTCAAAAATGATGATTACCAGGATATATAGATTACCTATTCCTTTTAAAATTTATCCTACCATTAAAATCATACTTTAATCAGGATATTTCAATAATTAAGGTATTTTTATTCAAGAGAAATGTGTGTGAGGTTGTCAAAATTCTTAAGAGATCCTAATTTCTTTTAGCATTTCTTAAATCCTCTTCAATTTTATTATTTTTTTAGACAGTTTTACATAAAGGAAGTTTAGTCATGTAGCCTCAGTGTGTGCCTCCTCTTTGAACAGGGATTTTGAATTTCAAAACAATCCTTAGGAAAGTAGGCACACACATAACACAGAAACCGGTGGCAGTTGGCTAAATCTGACTAAAAGTATTTCCTGTGCTTCAGAATCATCAGTAACATAGGCATGTTTTAATAAATTATTTTGCTTTAAAGAGAAAACTACCTTGTGCCACAGGGTATAACAGCAATTTCTCAGGTAACACTGCCTACCATTAGTATGGCTATAGTGCATTTAAACGCCTGTGTAAACATCTTTTTAACCAGTGCAAATGGCAAATATCTACTCCAGCCACAGTAAGAGTTTCAGATTTTTTATAACTATGAATCAAAGAAAACTCCAGGCTCATGGGATAACACTCCTCAACAGTAGTTTGCAGTTCACATGTCATCTGGGTCTGCATTTGAAATCAAATGAACATTACATAGCAGCCAGTGGCATAACAACATAAAGACGTTGGTCTTACCCTTTGATTTCAAGTCGTTTAATACTTTTGATTCCACAGGCAGTATGTCGCTCACTAGTTTTATCTCAATATTTCGGGATGCCAGTTCAAGCAGTTTTTCAAAAAGACGTTGACCCTGGCAAGAACAGTAAAGGAAAGCAAAAGTGATGAAGCACTGAATTGTTTAAATAGCACATCATCAAATAAAAGATTCATGTCATATGCATACCTAGTACAACGGGAGTAACTTCCTAAATATTGTTAAAGCTATGCTGAAGGTTAGCAAGTTACTGTTCTGAAGGCCAATCTTGCCTTCTGTTTTTCCCAGGCTATGCAATATCACCGATGACGACAAGCAACACAGAAAGAGAAGTGCCTAATTCTTGATGCTGCATGAATGTATTTTTATATTAGGTTTCTTTTAACCAATTACTTTATGTTAAATCAGGATGAAAATTGCATGGAAAAGACTTCATCACACACTTTTGTATTGATTGAGTATTCATTGTTTTTTTGAGTGGTTTCAACTATAGTGCAAAAAACTTTCGTGTAGTCACATGCTCATGTTTAGAAGAGCTATACCAGACAGAAAGACAATAATCTACATTTATTTTACATAATTTTCTCTGTTATTATGCATTATTTTTACTATGTAAGCCCTATTTCTAAAAACAACACAAAAAGGGAACCTCATACACGTTACAGAAATGGAGATTAAGGCAATTAAGGCAATTGTTTCCCATGGAAAATAAAAATCTCCAATCAAGTCATACTTTGCCATGTCCAAAAAAAAAAGTTCTACTTTCTCTTACTTACGCTGAGTAAATGTTTAATTTTTAGGTTCAATATTTATTTAAAGGAAAACTCTTGGTTAGAATCATGTAGCTACATGACAAAAATAAAATATCCTATGTGCCACTATTGTGCCTGTGTTGCTACGGTCACAGAGTTGGAGCTTCTTTCCTTGTTGCCATTCGAGCTTACTTCAGCAGAGACTAGTTACAGTTATCAGCATCATACACAAAAAATTTGGGTCTAATCAGTTGAAAAAGTGTCTATTCTACCTATGTAGCTCAATAAATTCAGTATAATGTTAGCACCGAGGTAAAATCTTGCACATCAAGTTATTATGCCAGTTTTCAATCGAACAGGTAGAAGACAGAGTCTTGCACAGGACTGGGTTGGAGAATTTCTGTACAACACCACAAACTGTTACTCTAAAATTCTTGAAAGGATCACTCTATTCTGCTAAAACAGCTGCTGCAAAAGCAGTTTCTGATGAAGGAATGTGACGTAAAATGGGCTAACAAAAACTTGTTCAGAAGCCCTCTTTCCTCACCACACCACGAAACAGCAGCGAGTGGGATGCCTCTTTGCCCTGTGATGCCCAATTGAGCCTTGCTGGGATTTCAGCAGTCATAGAAAGTAGCTCTTCATTTGTCTACAGTACAGACATTTCCTAAGATTCACTTCCAAACGTATATGGCAAAATAAAAATACCCAGCCTCCTGAAAACTAGCTTTCCCAAAATTACAGAGCAGCCAGAGGCTGCAATGGAAACAAATCTGCTGTTAGTGCCTGTCTGATGGCTCAAATCCACAGCATAGCTCCCTGCTCACCCCAGGGCTTCCAGGCATTTAGCAGTCAACAAGACGCTGCAGCAATGAAAGCAAGAGAACATAACAATAAAAGCATGCTCTACATGAAGATCCAAATACTTATTAGACTCAGCACTTTTGAGATGACTAGGTGTTCCCGTTTGGAAGAAATAGCACCCACATTTTATCTCACAAGCCTAAAAGCCTTTGTTGAGCTGCTATGCAAATCAGACATTCCCATTAGTCACAAAGCTAAAAAGATCTTTCTCATCTTTTTAGTTTAATTTATTCGTGAAGGATGTTAGTTGGAAGGATTTGTTTATTAAAGAAGGCAGATGTTACCAGAGTTAAGAATTAAAGAGATAACAGTGTGCAGGGGTTGGGTGCTGCATACAGAATTATGTAGCAGTTCCAATGAAACCCTTGGGCAGCAGCACATCGCTACTGAGCAGCATTCCTTGGTGCCCTGGGTCCCCCAGAAGGTCTCTCCTGTAATTGCTGCAGACTAGTGCTGCTAGACTGCAATCAAATTTGGGGTCCACAATGAACTGCACTGTTTCCAGCCCGTACCTTGACCTGTTTTACCTGATCTTAGCATGTGCTGATCTGTCCAATGCACCCTGCCTATCTCTTACAGGCTACTCTGACAGTTGAGTGGCCCACCCAAGGGGTGAATACATCATTTGGAGTGATCCAATTAAGACATCTTCTCTGAAAATACATCTGTTTTCCCATCAGGAACATCAGAAGCTATGTGTCTATCATGTCCTTTTTTGTCCAGATATGTTCATACATAGTGGAACTTCAAATTGATAAAAACATATAAACATCTCTAGCAATTGTTACAGAACCATAAAGCGTGGCTGGCTAAGGCTAGGACTGAACTAACTACAAACATCAGTATTTACACACAAATACAAAAATATATCATCCAGCATCAGAACTGGAAATAAGTCCTTCTGTCACATCTCTTGCTACATAATTTCTCACCAGATATTAGTACTCTCACCAAGGCCTAAGTCTTGGCATTCTAAACAACTATGAGAAATACACAAGTTGTTTTATTAAAAACTATATGTATTCTAGTAAAGTAGGATATAAGAAAGTATTTCTCATTGTTGAAGTACCTGGCCTTCTTTTCCCATTAATATTAATTTGAAACTCGGTTTCTATACTTTCTGACATGTTCACTTGCAATTGTACTGTTTTGTTCTATGAAAAAGAAAAGAGACAGGACAGAAGGTCTGAAGATTTTTGTCACTGCTGTCAGCACATTTGAAATGCTTCTGTTAAATACAAACCCTCATACTGTCATACAGACCACACTTTCAATACGGGGCTGCTGTGCCACTACATGACAGCAATCTGAATCACTCTTATACAGTTAGATTGTGAGGACTGAGAAATAGTAACAAGCCAAGTGCCATGGAAATGCAACACACTACCTATCACTCTATTTGCATTTTAGCAGACAACAATAAGAAAACAGCTCTCTTGGTAAAATATTATCTTACATTTTGACAACACTGTATCAGAAAATCTACTGAAAAAGACAAAATAGGTTGTAAAAAGTATATATCAAATGAACAAACAGCTTTAGGCTACCATCCATCTCAAACATCAATCCCAACTATCCATGCCACAGCAAGCTGGTGAATGAAATAAAAAAAAAAAAAGTTACAGCTACCAAAAAGCTCCGAAATTCCCCACAAAGAAGTTTCTTAACTCTTCCTAGGCAGACTGATTCCAGCCTGATGATTTCCTTTGCTTACTGTTACCTTTGTCGGCCTGCATTCCTCATTAAATAAAACAGGGAAGATAAAATCCACAAAATGCATTTACTGAAGTTTTCTAAAAGTGAATTACTGTTCCTTCAAAAGATAGATATCTACAATTTAGACAATGCTTAACTTTTTATTTCAACAGAAATAAAACCATTTACTTCCAGAATTTTCTTCTGAATTTATTCTACTTACAGTTTTAAAAAGTTGCCCTGCCATCAGTTGTTAAGGCGATCTGCAAAACATCACTGACAAGCACAGCATGCTGGCAGAAACCAATACGGTAAGAAAATAACCCTAAATTTAACTTCTGCTACTTAATGCAAAACGGAGAAACTCAAAATGCTCTCCTCGTGTTTTTCTAGCAAAATAGCCAGTGTAGACTCCAACCAACTTTTAGAAGTTCAGAGTCCAAAAAAATGCTTTCACTATAAAAACTTTCTCTTTTTTATTTCTGTGTCTCATTTTGTATCAGCAGTATCAGGGAAATGCCACCATCTGGCAGGGAGAGATGGCTTTGGAAGTATTAGCGTACAGAAAGAAAACACACTGAAATTTCTGTAGCTGGCTGTAGCCAATTTCTGCTGGCAGCTGCTAGGTTTACAGATGTTCTCATCCTCTTTGTACTTATTAATGTTTTTTAATAATTGTAAAAGACGGATAACTAATCTCTGGCACTAACATTTGTTCTATCAAACAAATCACGTAAGACCCTTGTAAGACACCTGTCTGCAAATGACATACGGCTCACCTTCAGAGATTTCATTACCAAGCTGGACAGATGACTTAAATATAAGATATTCAGGTGGAGTGGGAGACTTCTCCCATCAAGCCATCCGAGAACAGCACAACAGGTAGGGAAATAGAGATGAAATCAGAACCACGTGGTTTCTGTAAGATCATTGTAAAAGCCAGACCACTGATCATCTTAGAATACTCCAAATATCCATCCAGGGGGACATGTGCCATACTTACAGCAATATCAATATACCAAAATAGAATTGATGCTTACTTGTTAAAATGAAATTTGCGAGGAAAGACTTACTGAAACTATGTAAGGTCACAGTAAATTAATGTTTCTAAATGTTAGAAGACTCAGAGGAAACCAACTGTGAAAACAACTAACTGTGAATATAAAATTGCAGAATTTACTGCTCTTTTTCTTCAAGATGTGTTTTGGACTTGTATATACATATGCACATAGATTCACGCGTGCCCATAAATACACATACACAAAGAACATGGCTAGTTCCTGCAGTTAAGGAAAGGCAATCTAGCCTACTCAGCTATTCTCCTCCAAAAATCAATGTCTTTTAAACTGGTCATGCAAAGAAACTTGCTTTGTAATACATCTTACCATTCACAAAATGAAAACTGTATACAGCAGGACGTGAGTCCCTAAAGAAAATCGTTATGTTCTCAGTTTCTGATAAAAGCAGCATCATTTAGGGAACAACTAAAACTTCCTCAACTATAACCACTGCAGTACCTAGAAGTTTTGCAGCAGTCCCTGCATAATATTTCTGTTATGCGAGGATAAATTTCCCCAAATCCAAATTTGTAAAGACCCGAGGACATCTGACTTTTGAACATTACCAGATTACAATTACTGAAGCTTCACTGTCATTTCTCTTTCACCTTACGACCTTAAAAAGCAGATGCAATGATACAGATTTCCTTCCCTATTTTTCACTCACTAAGCTTTCTACACACTCTCTAGGGCAGCAATTTGCTAAGAATCCCTGCCTCTTTGTCAATTTCTTTAGCAATTAGATTGATTGGCCAATAGCAGCACAGTGTTTAAGGATGAATAGACAAGCTTGACAGAAAAATCTATCAGCTGTTCAGCCCACACTGCTGTACAATTGAGGGAATGACTGGAATATTAATCATATTTTAAACAGAAATAATTACTTTTGTAAGGCTACTGTGTATTCTAAATAGAAAACTAAAATAGAATATTACTAAAAAATACACTACATTTTTTTATGGCTTAAACAGTGCATTTAACGATGAAGAAGCAAATCCACTTATGTGTCTCTTATTCCTTTTTCCTGTTCTGACACTCAGCAACATCTTACAGTTCTTTGCATGAAAATATGGAACAGTGAATGGAATTGATGCTCAACTACTGAAATCCCAATTTCCAGTTTGCTATTTTTATTCTCTGCTTGGGATTTGTTAGGCTCTGCTGGTTTTGAAGTGAATGACACGTTGAATTTTTTCAGACAAAATTTTTTTAAAAGATTCATGCACATACCAATTCATGCACATCTTGAAAACATCTAAGGCATTCTCTGTGAATTCATCTGCTTGAATGACAGAACATGGGTTTGAAGTTTCTTAGGCAATGAATTTAAATAAAGCTTAGCTACATAATTACATTGTGAAAAGCCTCAATATTTTGATATTCAATGAATTTATTCAAGAACTCTACACCAATATTTATAAGCATTATAAAAGGAAGGGTTTGTGCTAAATTTTCCATTTGAATGCTCAGCTCAAGCTTTCACTTGTTTAAATGGACATAGAGTAGATTTTGAAGAAAGTGAATGTATGCCCTTCAACTAGGCAACAGCCTCTCTAAAAAGAAGTACCATTCAGTTCACCATTTGAAAACAGAGGCAGTTTGAAACACCATCTTTGGTTGCTGACAATACCAGTCACTGTCCACCATTTAGCATAAGGCATTTTTTTTACTGCACAGTATCATCCAAACTAGAGAGGAAAGTGAAAAGTTTGTGACATAGTATAGTATTGTGGATTCCTTATGTTTACTCTACTGTGATTTTAACTGAATTCCATTCCAGCTGAGTGGCTTTTTCCAGCAAACAATCCATTAAGAAAAAAGATACTCTCAGCTCATCATTTCTTCGATATCTTAGTTTGACAGGGTAACACTAAGTGGAAATCTGCCCTTTCCCCATTTTCTAAGGTGACTGCTATCAAGAATAATATGTTTGTTGGCACAGCATCACTTTAATGCATATTTGTCTCATTTGGTGATTTATGATTTTTCCTACTGTACTTTATTGCACAAGCCCTAACTCATTACCCTTCAGATTCATTTTGAAAAGATATTAAGAATCATCTGATACATTTGCTATCAGATAATTTGTAAGTGTAATTTTACACATCAATTTGGCTGCAGAACTAATCCACATAATTACTCTTTTACCTGATCATTTGCACCAAATAGAAAATAAGTATATAGTTTTATGGATATTCCCAATTTATGATGTGTTTGAATAGTTACAATTTTGCAAGTTTCTTAAGATTATACAATGATATCCTTTCCTAAGATGGAAGCGATATGAATGTGTTGAGTGTGTTCCCTTGTCCACTGTGCCACCACTCTCATAAAACTAATATCCTGACAGGACAATCCTCATACGAAAATGTTTGTTTGCTTTTAAACTACCCAAACAAACAGGTTTGCTACAGAGAAGGGCTGCAGCTCTAAACAATTCACAAACAACAAAAACAGATTGTTAAAGTCCCATCTTTCTTTAGTCTAGAACATACCTGGCATGCTGATGGATGACTGTGATTGAGGTCCCACTGGGAAGATACTATGTCAACAGACTTTTCAGCCATATTAAGCAAATTCATCCAGCCTTGGAAAAGAGACAAGTGGGATGGTGCACTGTCTGAATAGTTGATCCCTTCAGGAATATTTTCCACAAGAGCAACCCTGAGAATAGATAAGGAAAAAGTAACCACTTAACATGAGCGCTTTTCTTTATAAAAAAATCTCCAATTGTAAAAAAATGCCAGGTTTGGGCCTGTGGTTCAATACCAGTTCCCAGAATCTCTCAGCAGTCAGTTATCCTACTACTCATTCTGAAGTTGCCAACTGCCATGCTCTTCACTTCCCAAAACAATAAAACATGGAGATGACCTAATGCTAAGGCAATAAAGCAATTTAAGCTTTTAAAGCCCTGAAACATCAGCTTAAACACAGAAAAGCTTAATTCTGATGACATGATGGAACCAGTCCATAAAGAGAAGATGGGAAGCATAAAACAATCTCTTAATTTTTTGCGATGCTTCATCCTTGCATTTAATGTCTCTTTTCTCTAAGCAATGTGGTAATGTGCATACTCTCTGATATTCTCTTACTTTGCTTTACAGCTGACATTTTGTTATTAAAAAAAAAAGTGTCTACATAGGAATTTTCCCTTTCCAGTTGCTCTAAGCTGCCTAGTTGTGCTGTTGTTTTTTTGTTTGTTTTACCTACATAGGGCTTTGACTGGGATCCCGTGGATAAGGAAAGGAGAATGATTATGCTTCTTTTTTTTTTCTTTTTTTTTTTCTTTTTTTTTTAATTTCCTGTTCTTTTTGAAAGACTCTTCACGGTCAATATTATTCAAAATGCTTGCAGGTTACACACATTCATATGCATCCAAGAAGCTAAACAAACTTCATAGTAAACTGACAGTTTCAAATATGCCTCTCTATTTCAAGGAAATTTTGTTTCATTCAGCATGCTTGACTTCCTTAAATTACAGCAGGTAAAGCTCCTCACTTCACTCAATAGAAGAACATTGAAAGTAATCACAAGTGAGAAGTGTGTCTTTAGGTAAACAGATGAAATTATCAACTTACACAAGTTGCACTTCTTAAAGTGCCTCTTCTAATGCAACTCAAACAAATTAGATTTAGGAAAGCTGTAACAAGGGCTCCGTTTCATTGCAATCAAGTATAACAAGTATTTCCAAGACTGTTTCTATACTACTTCTTATCATAATTATCAACTCTGGCAACATAAATAAAATTTTCAATGTTTTGTTTTATTAGTAAATAATCAATACAGATATCTAATATGGAAGGGAAGTGGGCACTTTCTGCCCATGAAAATAAAGAATAGTTCTGTATCTTCTATTACTGAAATTCATCCCACACTGTTACATGGGAAATTTTACAGCTATTTCAGAAAATCTAACATGTTTGTGAAGCTAAGACATAAGAAGACTGAAGTTTAGTACTCTTTAATGCTAGGGGGAAGGATGGGTGAAGTATTGTGAGAATGTGGTTATTATCACATGCTTGTTTTTCCTGCCTGGCAAAAACAAGCCAACACCAAACTAACAAAAAAACAGGTGCAGCTTTTCCTTTCATTAGCTTCAAATGTTCTCTTATTCCATCAAACAACTCAAACAACATACATGTTGCTGAACTACAATTACTGACGAGACACTCCACAGCATAGTTGAACATACAACATTACTGATGATAAACATTAAATTTAACAGCATTACAGTAACATAATGGTAACATCAACAAATTAACAATAAGAGGTTAAAAATACAACATGCTTTTTAATGTCTTCAAGTATACTCTATTCTAAAATATTCTAACTTCCCCTTTCATAAACTTCCAGAACCACTGTCCTCTAAAAATAAACTACCCCTTTGTGCCTATTAGCAATGCTATACTTTAAAAAATAAACTATTTTAGACCAACACCCAAGGTTTATACATACATTTCTGCTGCATCTAATATTCTTACAGAACTTATTAAAACTTTATATGGATCCCTTAGAAATCTAGTTTGCCTCTTTTGGAATAGTTAACATTGCTAAAGTTACACTGCTAAAAGCCCCAATAAAATTAAAAGCTTTCAGAGTCCCAGAGCTCTTCTAGTACAACAAAGATACTCATCTACTATCTAAAGAGAGAGAAAACAGGGCACAGGAGCTAAAATGATTTCTATAAGGGCATTATAAAGAAAAACCAACAACAATCGAGTAGCAAAGATGCTAAATTAATCCATGTCCTTTAGGGCCTCTTCCATTGTCCACCCAATCACACACAAATACAAGAAAAAATTACTTTAAATTTTCTCCAAAGACATTTTACATATCAAGTGATTATTCCAAAAATAATCCATCAAATTTTGTTCTGATTTAGCAAAAATTTAAAAGTGCACATCATTTCTTAATAAAAGATCTGACGAAAATTTCTCAGCATTGCCTGACACTCACAGTGATTTATGTAAGCAAATAGACAAGAGCCCACAAAATATCTAACAAGATCAAATAAGTCCTATAAGATTATTCCTATTTGATTCCTTGATAAGAATCAAATAAGATCACTTCCAGTGACTTGCAGAGGTATTTCCTATAGACTGTACTGGCATGCTGCCTCACTGCAGAGCATTCAATTCTCCCCATCTTTGTCGATTTGCAATTTGACAAAAAAGGTAAGACTGTTACAGAATCACAGGGAATCACCTCGTTCATCCCTCAAAGCTGGGTCAACTTCAGCAGGTTGTCCAGGCAGGTTTTGAATAGTTTAAGTATTTCCAAGATCAAGAAACTTAGTGTTATTTTCGAGATTAGGCCCATATTCTGCCATATTGACTTGACCTCATTAGGTGTGAAATAAGAGAAAACACTACAGTATGATGTGTACACATTCTATACCCAGGTTCCACAAGCAGCTGGTAGCAATTCCACAGAATATAATATAAATATTGCTGTGGATGTCAGCCTCTACTTTACATACACATTTGAGTACTGATACCATGAAGATATGAAAAAAAGTTGAGTTTTTTCTCTCATTGCACAGGTTAAAACCATTTACCTATTCATAGAAAGCACTATGACAAATTTGCTAGGCAGAAGGAAATTCATCCTTTTCTTCAAAGGGCCTCTGTCTGATGCTAGGTGCTTGCTTCTTGGTAAATAGCTTGCCTTGACTTTTGGACTGGATTTTCTCTTTAGAAAGAGATCAGCTTCCAGTTTTTCAGTCTGCAATAACACACTGCAGCACTAGGACCAGCTGAGGGACTTGACTGTGCAGGTCTTGTCATTCAGTTCAGTATCTGTTCCTATACTTCATAATCTTTTTTTTTAAGCAAGTTAAAAGTACTTTGTGTTCTTTGGCAGACAAAAGATTTAATCTATCTAGGGCAATAGTTAAAGTGTTGTCCTCAGAGTTCAGACACTTCCTTTTGATAATGAACTGATTATGCTGAACAAGAAAAAAAAACACAAAAACCAACAACCCAACCTGTAACCAAATAACCAGAACACATCCCGATGCCCACTCAAAAAATTCAACACCAAGCTCAGAAGTAAAAACAAAAAACAAAAACAAAAAACAAAAAACAATTGAACAAAAAAATAAACAAGTAAACCACCAACCCACTTTGTAAAGCTATATTTGTCTTCACAATCTTCCCTCCTCCTTGGGCACAGCAGCAAAGTTCCTGTGCTTAGTCAAGAAGAGTTTTATTTAACTTCCGTCATAAAAATTTGAGTTCAAAATCTCCAATTCCATCAATAAAAACTGAACTTAGATCTATTTTGTTCCAGTATGACCCACAAAGTGCTTTTTGGAATGTATAACAAAAATTTCCAAGAGAGAAGGTCATTTGCAGCCCTCAAGGAACATCAAACCTGGTGACATCATTTAGTCCGCAAAAGTGGCATACTGTCAAAGCAAAACAGAACAAACGTAGCATGGTGATTAGAATAGACTTTACTATGCACAAAAGTCATTAGCAGACAATCTTACATCTGCTAGATATCTTTCTGACTTCTTGCAGGATATCTTTCTCTGACTTCTTGGTGCTTTATTTATTTCAGCTGACTAATGCCAACCTAACCTAGTCTCTTCAGTAATACAGCTGAATGTTCTCAAAACGACTTCTAGCTGACTGAGAAACCTGAATGTATATGATTTCTGTGATGTCATGGAGAGAAGGGTCAGAGCTGAGATTCGGGCTCCTCTAAGTGAACAGAAACGTGGGAATTGGTATAGTAGTATTTAATGCCTACAAAGAAGCAGAACTTGACCTCTATAATAAGTCACTTCTGAGTTCAGCTACATGATTCACATTTAGAAATTAAAATTGAATTCTGTCCCATGCTGAGGATTCTCCTTTTCCTCTGACAATCCGTAGGTCAGAAAACAAGACTCATTTCTGATCTCATATCTTATTTTCTTCTTTTCAAAAGGAAATGGTTTAGGATCTGAGTTATTTAGAGTAGAAAGAGCACCAGCACAGCAAAAATAGGCAGAAGCTATATGCTTGCTGCTTCAATAAGTTTAGTATATTAACAAATATTTATAGTTTTACTTAAAATGAGCTCCAGTTAGTCTCTATCTAGAGTCATACAGAAGAGAACATCCAGGTCTAAAGCACCTGAGTGTCAGCTGAATTTACACATTAAAGGAAAGAAGTTTAAAAACACGCTCAACTATTTATATGAGATAATAAAGAAATGAAAGATAGAGCATGTTGTTGTCTGAAGGCTTCTATAATTGAGACGGGAAAAGAATAAAATAAACAAAATAAAGGAAAGGAGAATGAATCATGCCCTTAAATCAAGGACCTAGGTAAACATATCCACATGTAACCCCTATTGCTCTCTTAATCCAGAAGCTCCAGAACCAACAAATCCTCCCTGGAGGACCAAAACTCCTCACAGAATTTCAGCTCCCCTTAGGTTATACCTCTTCAGTCTTAATATCCATTCAAAACCCACTATCTTTCTGACACCACTCCTTTCAGCTGAGGTTTCACTAGATCACCTTCATGCAATCTACTCTACATTGAATCAACCCTGTCACAGTTCTTCCTCATAGCTACTCAGCTGTAACATTGGTCAAGACCATCTTTCTTCTCTTCAGCTCAACAGAAGAACAGCTGCAGTTCTTATTTCTGGAAGGGAATAAGAAATAT